TTTGCCTTTAATCTTACTGCGTAATTCTCTGCTGGCCACTTAGAAGCCGATCTGATATGATATGTTGCGAAAGCTTTCATTGATTGTCTGAAATAGGGTGAAACGAGCAATAATTCTATAGGAGTGGAAACCTACCTGTAGTTGAGTTGTGAATGTTGATGAGTCTTGTTCTGCTATTGCATCTTCTCCCTTCCAGGATCATAGTAGAAACCTACTGATCAAGGTTGCGAGAGATAGTTGTTTAGTGCTGCGAAAGTAGGCTATTCATACTTCCGTGTCTCGAGTTCTAGAACATACGTAGTTGATTACCTTTATCACTTGTTTAAAATCGACATAGCTTAGTCCATGAATCCCTGCGAAACCCCTTGAGCCCCAACGTTTTTCTTTCATTGCTTACAACCTTAGATTTTCATTCTGCTTTTATTCGCTTGTTACTTGCTTTCATTCATAGCCGATTTTTACTTGCTTGCACTTGCTTTCGTTTTTATTTGCTTTTACTTGTTTAGATTTCTAGTTTAGATATAGTGACAACCAAAAACCCAAAACCAAAACCAAAACTTTTTTAGTTCTAATCTGATTTAAGCGTTGCAGTGAATTCGTACAGAAACAACTAAGTCTATGTGGATCGATACCCTAAGTACTACAGCGCACATCTGTGCACTTGCAGACATTTAGGGGTTATAAATTTAAAACCTGAAGCTTAGTAAAACGAAAAACAACAACCCCGCGCTTTTGCTCGCATCACCACCGTCGTGTTCTTGATAAATCGGATGCCAACACCGGTTCTCTCGATGAAGTCGCCCTTTCAGATGCTCTTCAAATCGAATCCGAACTATGACAGACTTCAAATTTTTGGCTGTCTGTGTTTCCCTTGGCTCAGGCCTTACACAAGACATAAGCTTGAAGACAAGTCTGTTCCCTGCGTATTTCTTGGGTATTCCACAACGCAGAGCGCTTACCTGTGCTTCGACGTCGCCTCGGGTCGAACATATGTCTCCAGACATGTTCAATTCGATGAAGAAACATTTCCCTTCGCTAAAACAATGGCTACCCAGAAAATACGTGAAATAGAAGCTCCGCCTGTGTTATCACCGCCGGTCACTGCAATCTCACTCACCAACAACTCGGTTACTCCTCCGCCTGTACCCTTGTGCTCAGTCCTTCGCCGACAGCCGTTTTCGTCGCAGCTCCCACCACCGGTAACATCCTCACCGGCTCAGGTATTGCCTTCTATCGCTAAACTCTCTTCTTCTTCTCCCTCTACTTCTGAGCCCACTGCTCCAAATCAAAATGGGCCAGAACCTGTGGCCCAGCAAGCCCAAAACACCAACACCACAAATCAAGTCCAACAACTTACCCAAGCTCAAGCCCAAAACACAACAAATCAAGCCCAACAACTTATCCAAGCTCAAGCCCCTACACAAACAACTACTCAAACACAAGCCCAAACAAATCTTTCGTCTTCTACCTCACATACAATTCCCGAAAACCAGCCGCCGACTTCAACCCAACGACCACAAAATACCCACCAAATGACCACTAGAGCCAAAAACAAAATCACCAAGCCTAATTCCAAACTAAGCCTCATTGTTGCATTCACAGCAGCTATTCCCAAAGAACCTGCAACTATTACTCAAGCAATGAAAGATCCACATTGGCGAGCAGCGTGTTCGGAGGAGTTCGATGCCCAACAACGCAATCACACTTGGGATCTGGTCCCGCCATTACCGACTCAGAATCTAGTTGGTTGCCGCTGGGTATTCAAAACAAAGCTCTTGCCCTCCGGTGACCTTGATCGATACAAAGCTCGCCTCATCGCAAAATGGTACAATCAACAATATGGAGTGGATTATGCAGAGACGTTTAGTCCGGTTATCAAATCCACCACCATTAGGCTTGTTCTTGATGTTGCGGTGTCCACGGCGTGGTCGATTAAACAACTTGATGTTAACAATGCCTTTCTTCAAGGCACCTTAACAGAAGAAGTTTATATGCTGCAGCCACCGGGTTTTGTAGACGCTGACCGACCAGATTATGCAGATTACGCAAAGCAATCTACGGACTCAAACAAGCTCCGCGTGCGTGGTATATGGAACTGAAACAACACCTCATTGTGACTGGATTTCTCAACTCCCTCGCTGATACGTCTCTGTTCGTTTACCACCAAGGTGCGATTTTCATCTACCTCTTGGTGTATGTTGATGACATTCTGGTCACGGGCAACAACATCGACGCGATGGAACGTGTCCTCTCCTCCTTGGCAGATCGTTTTTCAATCAAAGATCCCACAGACTTACATTATTTTCTTGGGATCGAAGCTACTAGGACGACCACTGGCCTACACCTAATGCAGCGCAAATATGTCCTCGATCTACTCACCAACAGAATATGCGGGATGCAAAACCGGTATCTACGCCAATGCAGAGTTCACCCAAGCTGTCACTACATAGTGGTACAACACTGGAAGATGCAAAAGAATATCGGACCATCGTCGGAAGCCTCCAGTATCTTGCCTTTACACGGCCAGATATTGCATACGCAGTCAACCGGTTATCTCAGTTTATGCATCGTCCGACGACAGACCATTGGATTGCTGCTAAACGAGTCCTCAGACATCTAGCCGGTATCCTCACACACGGCATCTACATTAACGCCGACTCACCACGCACACTACACGCATACTCCGACGAAGATTGGACAGGCGACACAGATGACTTTGTCTCCACAAATGCATATGTTGTCTACATGGGTAGAAACCCAATCTCTTGGTCCTCAAAGAAGCAGAAAAGTGTCTCAAGGTCGTCCACCGAAGCCGAATATCGTTCTGTTGCCAACACCGCTTCAGAGGTACGCTGGATTTGCTCTCTTCTTACCGAGCTTGGCATCACCTTACCAAAGGCACCAGTTATCTACTGTGACAACGTTGGTGCAACATATCTTTGTGCAAATCCTGTGTTTCATTCTCGGATGAAACATGTTGGACTTGATTATCACTACATTCGCAATCAGATTCAAGCTGGTGTCTTGCGTATCTCACATGTCTCTACTCATGATCAACTCGCCGATGGGCTCACAAAACCATTAACACGTGCTCGACATCAACTGATCTGTTCCAAAATTGGTGTCACACCAGTGCCTCCATCTTGAGGGGACATATAGAAGTACATACTTGTATATAGTGTTAAGGGTGTAATTTTCATTATCTATTCCCTAATCTCGATATGTATCACTATAAATATTGTACATCATTCTCTTAAAAATATTGAGACATTCTCCTTCTATAGTATCCACTTGTAATTATCTCCTTATAACTTTAGATTCTGTCAAAATATATACTTGTAAAAGATTATTATTAAAAATAGAATATTTAGCTGATTCTGAATACAGATTATAACTCCAACGGTTTTAGAACCAAAAAATCATCGTACAGATTCTCGCTCTTGTTTTTTATTTAAAATAATATCTTTAATTAGATTCTAATATTTTATTTTAAAATTTCTAATTTTGTAATATAAAGTTTTAAGATTTATATATAATTTGTCTTTATAGATTTATTTTTTTCTAATAAATAATAGAAATTTATATTTGTGTTTATATACAATTTATTTTTGTAAATTTTTTTTTTATTTAATATGATTATGATTATAAATATATAATTCTAACTCACCCATTTATATTAATTAAAAAATATAATTCTAACTAATCTATTTCTATTATAAAAAATATTTACTAATTTTAAATATTTATATTTTTAATCTAATTGATAATGATAAAAATATACAATAAGATATCATTTTCGTCTCCGGAATTAACATGAGCATCATAAATTACCCCGTATCCAAACCTAGACTCAAGCGCTTTTTCAAAATTTGTTTTCATTTCATAATTTCCACACTTTATTTTGGATATGTCTTGCTTGTTGCTCAGTGTAGGGTTTTCTCTGCAACAAATTTCTCCTTTGATATTTTTTGTTTAGAATGTTTTTTTTAAATGGTTAAACTACAATGATTTTTCCAAAAGTATAAATATCAGAAAATAATCGATATAAATATTGAATGCATAGTTTTAGTTAAATATTTTTCAACTATAAACAAATAGTTTTTATTTCATGCGCCGTATAAAGTATTTATAAAATATTTTACTAAACATAATTTAATTTATTTAAAATATAAATAATTCAATTAATTGTATATGTATGTTAATAGTATTATGAGGAGTAATAATATGATTTTGTAATATTATTACAATTAAAAATATATAATATGATTATAAAATTTTATTATTGTTTTTCATCTTTTTTAATATTAATGTAATTGTATAGTTAGTAGTTTAACTGAAAAATCGATATATTTTATTAAATAAAAATTTTAGTGATTTATTTTGTTTTGTTTTTCAAAATTCAAACTATCTCATATGCATAAAAATAGAATTTTTTTATGTTTGATGTGATAATGAAATCAGAAAAAAATTAAACAAAGAGAATAAAAGAAATTTAATTATTTTGATATAATTGAATAAGGATTGAATATAAGAAAATAATTAATATGATATAATAAATTTCAAATAATGTTTATTCTATTTGATTGGCTAATAAATATGTTTTGAAATTATTTACTTTTTGTATATTAAATTAAGGAAAGATAGAAATTTTTGAATAATTACTTTTAATAATTAATTTATTAAGATATATTTGATTCTCTAACCAAATTAATATGAATGGTATTGATTGTAATTATTCTAGTAAAATAAGTATTTTAAAAAAAACTCTTGAAAAACTCAGCATGACAAACTTGTTAATAACATTTGTAGAAATGACAACTCAGCATGACAAACTTGTTAATAATATGAGACAAAAGGTTAATTTTTCTTCTCAAATAATAATATAAGATAATAACTTCACATCTCATATTTATATCTCAGTGTAGGGTTTTCTCTGCAAAATGAAAAGCACTACAATTTCATGTGAGAGTTTTTCCTTAGTTTCATATCCACTAGTATATTTATAGATTCAATCCACAGCAGTAGAATAACAATTCCAAACGTAAAGTTAGCATTATGAACATTGCTCCAACAATGCTGCACATAAGTAGAACACCGATATCAAGACAACCTTCTAATCTATCTGCTTCTAATCTATCTGCAGCACCGGTTTCAATTCGAGTCTAACAAGTTTTTCTCTTGTGAAGTTACCTTCCAGAGTATAATTGATCACCAAGGAGGACAATTGCCATGCCAGCGACAAGAAGTGTCTGGAGCGGCTGAAAGACAGCTACAAAGACAGGACCGCCTTTGTAAATACACCATGTCTGAAGATAAACCACCAGACCGGACGCCACTATTCCCTGTAACATTATGTGTATGTTAGCTCATTTGTTGGATTCAGAGATCTTGAGTCTGCACTGGCCACTTGAGAGCTTACCGCATAAAGGATGGTGAAAAGCTCTTCCCATGAGACAATAATCCAGTTTTTGGGATCAGTTTCGACAAACAGAGCAATGACAAGAAACTGAATCACACCAAAGAAACATGTGAATGATGTTAAGGTGAGCTTTGCTGGGTACTTCTTCAGGACAGGAGCTTGGAGAACCATCCAACCAGCCCATGACAAGCAGTGTCCCATAAGGTATAAGCATCCGAGTGTCCAGTTCTGTGCTTTGTTAATGGATTCGATCCCGTCATGAGCATTGGTTTTTTGAGCAGTAAGGCTTCTCTGAAAAAGTGGGAATCCTCTGTACAATGTGATAATTGTGGCTCCGCCTATGCTCACTATAGTCCCTAACACCTTGGCTACACCGTGTCTTCGAACAAGATTTATGTGCTCGATCCTTAAACATTGATGAAGATCATCACCGTTAAGACAGGGGGATATAAAGATGATCATCATTTCTAAAGGAATTTCTTTGAAATAAAATACCTTAGGGCACAAGCCATGATGAAAGTGATTGCAGGAACAGAGTTCTGCATTGCTGAAGCTAAAGTTGGAGATGCATAGGCCAGTCCCAAGAGGTAGAATCCTTGATTCGCTGTGATTCTGATGTTCATAAAATGAGGGTAGAATCCTTGATTCGCTGTGATTTCTGATGTTCATAAAAATCAGGGGGGCAAAAAAAATACAAAATAAACTATCATACTACAATTAAAAGATTTTTAATTAGATTAATGAAAACTGAGTAGTGATACAAAGGGGATTCTTCCCCTATGAGTGCTAAGAGGAAGAACTGAACTAGTAATGAGATTGTGAGAGGAGGCCTTTCCTTTCTGATGAACACACAAAAAATATAACAAAATTTTTTATCAGATCAAAAATGTTAAATTTTCTGGTGTTACCCAACAAATCCATATGAGATCGAATAACAAAAATTTCTGGTGTTACCATATTTCTGTAGTTAAAGAACTAAAAATTCTGGTTTTCATCCTAAGAATCCCACATTCGATCAAAAATATTAATATTTCTTCTAGCACAAACCCATTGAAATCCAAAGAGACAGAAACCTGGAAACCCATATGAAAGAAATCAAAACCCTTTGTTTGTTTTTGTTATTGAAGATTATGTGCAGGACGAGAGAAATCAAACTCTAAAACCAAATGCTCGTTGTACACACAAAATCTCGGCGACTTAGGGAAAGATTGTGAACTTACTTCTCCAAGAAATAAGCGAAAGGACCAATGAGGAGAAGAGCAAGAATGTTCCTGTAAACAGGATACACAACTTTACTGACACCAATGTTAAGTGCAACTCTTGAGACAATGTGGAAATCTGCAAAATAGAATTGCAAAGTTATTAAAGCTACCAGAAGCTTCATCTTCTCAGATACTACTCCTTTTCCCATTCTTTTATGATTTTAAATTTGTTTTTTTTGTTATAGATCTTTCTTCTTGAGTTTTCTTTTGTTCTCTCTTTCTTTTGTTATAGATGTGTATCATATCATATGTGTGTGAGGTACAATTGAGATTTAGAATAATTGTTAGAATTATTGTTTAACAAAGTGAATGATTGGTCTATTAGAGAACTATGATTGTATAGTTCTTCAAGTGGGCTATTATATTTGTGTATTAATGATTATGAATAATGAGGTAAGATGGTATATCTTGACTAGATTAATATGATTTGGATGGTAGTTTGTGTGATTTCCTCCTTTTTTGGGATTAACTCAAATATGTTGGTTGCATATATAAAAAATTATTTTTTAACTCTTGCAAAGTCGTCCCATGTTTAGCAAGCAGACAAACACCGATCACTTTCACGGCTCTGTTCCCTGTCTCCTTAGTCGGTTTCATTTTACGAAGACTATTTATCAATAAGCATATAATCAGCAATCAAATATAATGGCTTAAGTTGTTCAAAAAAAAAAATATATAATGGCTTATTGGCTTATTTGAATGAAAACTAACCACATGCCAAAGATAGAAAAAACTAACCATAGAGTAAGTTGTTGTAATGATTCATTCGGTTGTAACAATTAAAGGATGGTGCATACATAAAAGTTTCGATTTGCACACAAAAAAATAAAATTAAATAATACTAGATAGTAATCTGCACAAGCGGAGTGAGATATCCATAAATTTCTTTTTATAATATTCAAATTTGAAATAAAAATATGGATACTAAAAACTTAAAATTCTGAAACAAATATATTATATTAGTGTAAACTATATTATTATAAAGAAATACAACCATTTTGATAACAATATAGAGATAAAATTGTGATATATATATATAGTGTATTTCACTATTAGAATAATTAAATTAACTCTAAATAGTGATGAAAGTAAAACTAAGTATGAATAAGATTTAGAATGGATTATTGGGAGGTTGAATTATTAGGATTTTTAGAGTTTAAAATTCTATGGTTTATTGGTATGTAGATTTTTACATTCTTAATAGATTTCACTGTTATTCGTAAACAGATTATAACATTCTTTAAAAATATATTGTTATTGGTTTGATGATTTTTCTAATCTAATCAAAAGTCATTGTTATTCAAAAAGTTTGTATTTTAACGATTCTATAATTCTATTAAAATCTAGTATTATTGGGATAATGAGTCTTTACAATTTAACTTATAAATCATGATTTTCAAAATACTACATATATCCCTTGGATTCTCAAAATCTGTCATAGTAAAAATATTTTGTAAATTATTTAAATTCACAAAACTCTCTTCAAATTCTACAAATCTAACAAAACTCTTGAAGATTTGACTGATCTCATTACTTTTAAAATCACAAAATATTTCTAAATCCAACTCTCAATAACTCTCCCCCCCCCTTTAGTCTAAATAATAGGAACGATAAAAGTAAATAAAACAAATAACTAACTTTCGAGTCGATTACACCATTTTTTATTGTTAGACCAACATCTTTGTATTTTTTTTTGGAAAGCCTTATGATATTCACTATTATTTTTCAAATATTCTTCAAAAGTTTTAAATCAGAGATTGAGTTAGAAAAAAAAAGAATTATGGCAACAAAGATTATAATTAGGTAAAAATGCTACTTTTAAAAAAAAAATGATGAGCAAAATGTTATGGAAGACATTTTTTTCTTATATAGAGGCTAATCGTAAGGATTCTATATTATATTATATAAATTTTCAAAGATTTGGTTTTTTAAAAATAATCAATAATAAACAGATAAATGCAAAATATGTTTGGTAACTATATTAGAGCATGTGCAACGGGGTCTCTACCCTGATTTCTTACATTTTTTAATTAAATTAAATAAAGAAAATAGGTAAAAGGAAGAAACGTATACTAATTAAGAGACATAGGAGACGTCTCTTTTGACACGTCTCTTTTGACAGATGTCAATATATTATAGGTTATTTTTCTTCTTCTTTCTCTCCAACAGACATGTGGCAAACAAAGTTTTTTAATATTATAAATTTATTTTTCTTCTTTCTCTCTCATCATTTCTCCGTTGCACATGCTCTTAGGTAATAACCAAATTCCATCTGCATTAATTTGAAAATTTTGTAACTGATATTTTTACAAAAAAAGGATTTTTTTTTTGTTTAGAATGTTTTTTTTTAAATGGTTAAACTACAATAATTTTCCAAAAGTATTAAAATCAGAAAATAATCGATATAAATATTGAATACATAGTTTTAGTTAAATATTTTTCAACTATAAACAAATAGTTTTTATTTCATGCGCTGTATGAACTATCTATAAACTATTTTACTCAACATAATTTAATTTATTTAAAATACAAATAATTCAATTAATTTTATATGTATGTTAATAGTATTATGAGGAGTTATAATATGATTTTGTAATATTATTAATTAAAAATATATAATATGATTATAAGATTTTATTATTAATTTTCATCTTATTTTTTAATATGAATGTAATTGTATAGTTAATAGTTTAACTAAAAAATCGATATATTTTATTAAATAAAAATTTTAGTGATTTATTTTGTTTTGTTTTTCAAAATTCAAACTATCTCATAAAAATAGAATTTTTTTATGTTTGATGTGATAATTAAATCAGAAAAAAGTAAATTTGATATAATTGAATAAGGATTGAATATAAAAAAATAGTTAATATGATATAATAAAATTTCAAATATTTTTTATTATATTTGATTGGTTAATAAATATGTTTTGAAATTATTTACTTTTTGTGTATTTAATTAAAGAAATAAAGATATTTTTTAATAATTACTTTTAATAATTAATTTAATAAAATATAATTGATTCTCTAACCAAATTAATATGAATGGTATTGATTGTAATTATTCTAGTAACATAAGTGTTTTTAAAAAAACTCTTGAGAAGTTTTGTAGAGATGACACCTCAGCATGACAAATTTGTTTATAACACATGAGACAAAAAATAATTTTAAAGTGTTCTTCTCAAATAGTAATATAAGATAATAACTTTACATCTCATTTTCATATCTTTAATCCCCTATTTTTCATATACTAAATGATCTAAATCCTTAAATCTATTTGACCAAACCTATTACTTTTAACCTGAGTTATCTGAATGTTTTCACATTTTTTACGTGTTTGATCCATATTACATTAAAAATTAATCTTAGTAAAGTTTTATTAGTAGCATATATTATGCAGATTTGAATTTACTTGATAATCTTAGTAAAGTTTGATCCAAAAGAATGGTGCATACATAAAATCATTAAATTACATTTTTTATTATTAGCATATATTATGCAGATTTGAATTCACGTGATAATATAGAAACCAGACTTCATTAAAGTAAACCAATAATAAACCACATTTTAACTACTTTTATACATTCATCATTTTGATTTGATTTAAAAAATTTCCTCTTCCTTTTTTCTTCCTTATGTAATAATGATTCAAGGAATCGAATTACATGTGGTCTCGTTCCTGATAGTTAGACAGACATCTTATCTGAATGCGGAAAGATTAAAAATAAGTTAGTATTCAACAACTCTTTTTATTCATTATTCAAAAGGCAATTATGCCATAGGAATATTAACCACCGTTTTTTTTCTGTTAATTTGTCCTGTCTTTAGGTTCTCTGAATGATAATAGTACTCTAATATTATATCATCTCGCAATATATAAGCTATATAACTTAGTCCTCTTTACTAGGGGCAGGGCCGGTCCAGAACATAGACGAGGTAGGCGACGGATTAGGACATCCAATTTATGAGGGCATATTTTGATTAGTTTTGTTTATATAAAGAATATATATAAATAAACAAAATTTAAAAGATTTTTTATAAGACAATAATATTTGTACGTTTTTTTGTAATGTTTATGGACTTTTCTCTAAAAAATATTGGTTAAGGGCAACAAATTATATTTTAGAAAGAGTATAGAATTTGTAGACTTGAAGGTTTCTTTAACGAATGGTATGCAGACATAGTTGGTGATGATCTATTTATGGAATTGAAAATTCTCCAAGAATTAATACCAAATGAAGTTGAGAAGCCTATTGAAGTGCTTAATTTGTTGAAACAAATTGAGGATTGTTATCAAAACACAGAAGTTTCATATCGCATATTGTTGACAGGTCTGGTATCGGTTGCTACTGCTGAAAGATGTTTTTCGAAGTTAAAGCTGATAAAAAAATTATTTGCGATTTACCAAGAGCGATTAAATGGGCTAACTTTGTTATCTATTGAAACAGTTATGGTTGAAAAACTCGACTATAAGAGTTTAATAAACAATTTTGTTGGGAAAAATACAAAAATGACCGTATTTTAATAATAAATATTAGTTTTATTGTGTTTTTTTGTATTTTTTATAAATTGTTTATGGAGTTGAAATATTTTATGAAATTTTGTGTTTTTGTTTTGTTTTTGTAATTGAAAAAAGTATACTTTAAATTTTAGATTAGGGCATTTAAATTGATTAATCCGGCACTAACTAGGGGTGGCCAATCCAAGCAATCCAACCCAACCCAACTTAATCCAATTTAATTAAAATCATTTAGTTTGGATATGAATTCTTATAAAAATATATTTAAATTTAATAATTTTTATTAATTTGGGTTTGGATTATTTGGATTGGTCATTAGATAACCCAAAAAATTCAAAGAATGCTCACCTTTGAGACAGAATAATAAGATAGAATAATATGTTTGTTTCATTTCTCGATTTTATATTTTACAATATCGGGTAATGGTTTTGTTTTATTTTTAGATTTTATAAAAAAATAATTGCCATTGGTATTAAAATTTTATTTTATATGTTATTATTTTTATAAATATTCAATAACTAAATCTAATATAAGATTTAAATAACTCAAATAAAATTAGATATAAGTCTATTTTGAGTCAAATTATTTATGATCCAAATAACCCATACTTGATCTAAAACTTAAAAAAACT